TCATGAAATTTATATTAATATATATTTCTCCTTCTGTGTTGTAATTAACTGTAAATTACCACTTAACAATAGATATTTGCTAACATAAATCTGCTAGTCTTGCCAGTTGAGTAAGTCTGCTGACTCTTACAGCAACCTCTTCTCTTGGGTTACTTATTTAGAGCATTATCTATCTTTATGCACATACAATCTTAAGTAAGCTCTCATTGATCTATCATTCAATAATTTGATGACCATAGAATCCTAAGCACTTACGTATGCAGAGTTTGTACTGTGCCATCACATACATACTGGCTTATATGTTATCTTGGAATTGATTTTTTCCTGTTTTTCTGTGTATGTCTTGTCTCTCCTCAGCAGGATTGCAAACTCCCAAAGAATAGACAACATATCTTAAACACATATAGGATTAATAGATATTTGTTGAGCTAATATTTTCCCTTTTAGTTAATAGGGTCACTGTGAGTTGTAGTCGACTGCAACACATAACAGCAAAAACAACCGTTTAAGGAATTAGGCCGTAATCCAGAATAATGAAGCAGATGAAGAGTAAGATGGGACTTGCAGAGAATTACATTTTGGGAAAGGGTGCTTTAAGAAAGAAGGTGACAATTTTAGAATTTCTTATGTGTTTTAGATAGGAATTTTTTGAAATTACTTTCTAACTTAAGCATGTGATTTTTTCCAATATTTTTAATACTAGGACTCGCTGATTCTTGAGAAGAGTCAAAACTGGAGTTCTCAAAAAATGGACCATATTATGATTTGCTGTGTTTGTCTTGGAGACAATAGTGAGGATGCTGATGAAATAATTCAGTGTGATAATTGTGGCATTACAGTCCATGAAGGTAATTTTGCTTCGTCTCCTTGTAGAAATGACTGATACTACTTTTAAATAAGTATACTTTTCATGTTTGTACTGTTTTAAAGGTTTTCTATAGTATTTCATAGTGGTAAAATTGAAATAATGCATATTAAATCCTACAATGGCTGTTATTTTTCAGACAAAATTAAGCATTTTTAAAAAGAATGAATGTTATATGGAAATTATTTCCTTAATGGTCATATTCATTATTATTTCCTTTATGATTTTATTTACTTCTAGTTTCTAAATGAAAATTAAAAGTAGGAAATATTTGTGTTTTAGTCTAGTAGAATATATTAATTTAAAACCTATATATTAAGTCTTTTACTTTTTTGCAGAAAGAATTTTACATTTTTATTTTGTAGGGAGAATTGATAGAGATCATATTTTGAAATCTGAAGTATAAGCTACTATGATATACTAAAAATATTTTAATATTCTTGAAACTTTTCTTGTTAGGTGATTTTTTTCTTTTTTACTTAAATTTATTTTGGCATAACTTACTGTATGAATGATGAAATTTCAGAAATGCGTGAATAGGTCTAAATTTGTTAAATGTGTTATTTCAACAATTGTCTGATAATAATATACTCAGAAACAAAACAGGAATAGGAGTTCACTTAAATATAATACTGTAATGTGAAACCTATACTTGGACCAACAGGCAGTCGTCAGAACAGAGCAAGGAGACACTACATGGTTCAAAATCAAGAAAGGGGTCTGTCAGGAATGTATTCTGTCTCCATACCTTTTCAGTCTGTGCAGAACAGATCATCTGAGGCGCTGGGCTTTACGAGGAGGAATGTGGCATCAGGATTGGTGGAAGAATCATCAACAACCTGCATTATGCAGATGACACAACCCTGCTTGCTGAAACTGAGGAGGATCTGAAGCACTTGCTGCAGAAGTTCAAGGACTGCAGTCTTCAATATGGATTGAAGCTCAACATCAAGAAAACAAGGATTCTCACCACTGGGCCAGTTGGCAGCATCAGTATGGATGGTGAAGAGATTGAGATAGTTAACAGTTTTTGTGTACTTGGTTCCACAGTCAACACTCTTGGTAATAGCAGCCAGGAAATCAGGAGACGAATTGCATTGGGAAAGTTAGCTGTGAGGGAACTCTCAAGAGTACTGAAGAACAATGACGTCAGGCTGGAGACTAAGATGCACCTGATCCAGGCTATATAGTCTGCAATTACGTGCTATCATCGGAGAGTTGGACAGTGAATAGGGATGATAGAAAGAGAATTGATGCCTTTGAGCTGTGGTGCTGGGGAACAGTGTTGAATATACCATGGACTGCTAGG